GGAGCAAAGAGCTGGATCTGGCTCTGGTCCGTTCCCTGAGACCCTTGCTTTTCAAGACGCTTTGGATTTGACCTTCCTGGCCTCTTGGGTCCGTCTTTAGGCTGTGGTGGCCAGGGCTAAAGTTGGGAGTACAGGCGATCCCCCCCAGATGAGGGAAGGCAGAGTCACAAACCCCAGTGCCACAGGGCTCCAGGGTGTTCGGTGGGCTGCAGGAATGGGGTTCATGTTTCGCAGCATTCTCTTCCCGAACACCCCTGGACAAACAGGTAGCCTTTAAGTCACCCTGAGACTCTGTAAACGCTGCTCCCCTCCCTGGCCCATCCCAGCTCCGCCTCTGCCTCCAGACAGGGCCCACCCCAGAAAAGAGTGTTGGCAGTTTCTAGCTCTCCTGTTGGTTTTAGCCAGGTCACTGCATCAGGCCAGCTGAGGGGAAGACAGCTGCCCGGAACACCTAGGAGGGGGAGGGAGAGGTAAGGGTGGGGGTGCCCAGCCCCCAGGCAGGCGGGGCAGGCCCAGCCCGGCCTCAGGTCTGATACTGCTTGCCTTTGTTTCCTGCTACTCCCATTGCTGGGAATAGGGGTCAGAGCCTCTGGAAGTTCAGGAACTTTCCAGCTTCAAGGTGAGGACGTTCATGACCAACAGACACCTAAACCCTCTTTCTCACCAGATGCTGCAGAGGCTGCCACACCATTGCTAAAGTTAGTGACTCTGGGCTCAGTGGGGTCTCATCCTCTCCAGCCTGCCTGAGGGTTTCAAGGCTTAGTCCTAGTGTCCCCGTAGGGTGACTCTGTGCCCCCGCCTCCACAGCTGCTCCCCTCCTTCTGGAAGCCAGGACCAGACCACTTTTTACCTGCTCTTCTCCCCAGAGACCCTGGATGATAGTCCCCTAAGTTTTAAAGTTGAGGACCCTGTTAAATATCAAAGTCTGTGACCTCTTTACACGGTATCGAGAAAGCAACAGGATTCTGTTAAGTTAGTGTGTTTTTAAAGGATCTGTGTTTTATCCATCACTCCAGTCAAGCAGCAAGGGACACGTTAGGGACTCGGGCTGCGGGCCCAGAACCCACAGGACTGCAGTGTCTGTGGCTGGTAAGGTGGTGGAGTTAGGGGAGTGGTCAGCCTGGAGTTAGAAGCTCCTTACTCCAACGTCCCTGAGATGCCCACTTGGTGTCCTGCTTTGTGACCCTGCCAAGGAGCTTTCACGCCCAAGGTGGTTTGGAGGGACTCTGAAACATAGCCCAGTCCCCGCAGCTGGCCGGGGCAAGGGCTCAGCTCAGATGGAGGTTCCTAAGGAGGGTGGCCCTCCTTGTGGCCAGTGCAGGGTGAGAGCTGGCAAGACTTGGCTTGAGGCTGCCTTCTTGAAGCTTCTCTGCCACCTACCTACCCCCAGACCCTGACCTGCTCTTGGGAATGGCTGCAGCAGCATGATGAAGACAGCCCGTGGTAGCCCTGATGCTGTGCTTGGCTGTGCTGTCCCCTCTCCGCCTCTGGAGTATGAGCTGGCACCTTCCTCCACTCTGCCTCTGGGATAGGGTGGGGAATTCTTACTTGGTGATGCTCTCGATGGGCCAGCCGGGAAGGTGGTCCCTTTGGGGCTGGGGAGGAGAGGAAGTGGAAGTGCATCCTGGGGGAGGGAGAGTCTGCAGACACTGCCGCTGCCTGGCGGCCTGGGGCAAGTCCGGCACCCGTCCAGACCCAGTCTCAGCCCAGCTTGCCTCCCCTGCAAGGGCAGGGGATGAAGCGGGAAAGGAAGGCCTCACTCCTTCCATGTCCTCCGTCCTGCTTGGCTGGAGCCCTGGCCCCAGGTCTGGGCTCTTCCCTCGCAGCCGCCCAGGTGTGGCCAGGAGACCAGGGGGGCTGAGACAGAGATGGGCGGAGTCTTCCTCTTGACCTCCCTGTCCCCCAGGCTTCATGCATCTGTCCCACAACCCCCGGCCCCCACCAGAGTCGCACCTGGCCTGGCCCTTTTAGGCGGTGGGCTTCCAGGGTCCGTGTTGTGGGGGAGGGAAGGCGCACATTGGCCTTGGCTTTGAACAGACTGAACGTGTAGAAGTTTAGACTTTGTCCACCACAAGGGTTTTGGTTGTATGAAAAGCCGATTTTCCTGAGACTAGGAGAGGTTAAAGGGGCCCCGTTAAAGGTATGGTTTGTCTTGCCTCGCCCGCCCCAGGCATGAGGTGAGTTCCGAGCTGGGCCAACCTGTCCCCGAGGAGCCCCGAGCCATGGCCAAGTGGTCTTTCGGAAGGACCAGGGTCAGAGGCGATCCTGAGGAGAGCCCCACACGAGGCCTCAGAGGCAGCTGGCCACAGACTCTCGCAGGACTAAGTGAAACCGGAAATGTCACCCCAAACTCCAGGGTCAGCTGGCACCTGGCAGTCCTAGTTCAAACTCAGCAGTTTCTGCTAATTTCCTCCCCAGGGAGCGGAGGCCAGGAGGTTCCGGTGGAGGGGATTTGAGGAGGTCACCGTAGCCCACCCAGTCAGTGGAGACCTGAGAGGGGAGAGGCCGCCCTGAGGCCAGGGAGCTGGTTTCACTGGAGAAAGTGTTTGCTTAAGAGCTTGTTGTGTAAACAAGATCCACGAGAGGGATAAGCTGAGCAGAGTTGAGGAAACAAATTGTTTTTAGTGACTTGGCAGATCTGAAGTCTTGCCTGTTCAGGAGAGAGGCCCTGCTCTTAGGAAACTGCTAACCTGTTGTGTGGGTGAGAGGCTGGGCCTCCCTGGGCTTTGCTTGGGTCTTGGGCGGTACACGGTGCCTCCAAGGTCCCCAGCCTGGACCCACGGCTCTGGCTTCTGCGGGAAGGTTCATCACACTTTCCAGTGCGGTGGAGGCTGGTCTGGCTGGAGCCCTGACCCCTGCTGCATGCCCAGCTTTGTCTCCAAGGGAGGGGGCCGGTGTGTCAGGACCAGTGCTCAGCCCCAGGGCCTCTTGGGGACAGTGAGGGTAGGCAGAGGTGTTAGGCAAGGGTGAAGCAGGGTCTTGGTGAGTGTGGGTGGGCGGGGGCCCCTGAATGCTTGCCCTGGGAGCAGTTTGTCGTGAGCCCAGATGGGAGGATGTTGGGGGTGCGGTGCCCACGCTACACCTGCCTGATGGGCAGCAGTCTTTGTTACCGAAGGTGACAGACTTGGGGAGGCTGGGGTAGCTGGAAGCTCTGTGGACGTAGGACAGGTGTTTGAAACGCCACCGGGGATGGCAGAGACAGGGTGTGGCCTGGGGTGCCAGTGGAGGTCGGGGGCTTGACCGTGTGTTGCAGGTGGGCCATGCCAGCTCACACGGGCTCTTCTGGGGCCAAAACCCTTTTCTTGGGCGGTACTAGGGAGTGTACAGCTTGGGTCTTGCGCTTTCAAAGGAAGTTCGGTGGTATTTCTAGCCTCTCAGTTTCTACACATGTCTGAAGCTTCCTTTTCGTCTAGGCCCCGGACGTGAAGCCCCCACCTGGTCTGGCTCTGCCCCAGGCGGCCTCAGGAGGCCCCAGGGCTTGTCTTTCCCTGCTTTGCTCCATTCAAGAGTAAGGCCCTGTGGCCTGTGGCCAGGATTTGGCAAGGCCTTTTGGGCCAAGAAGGCCTGGTGCCTGACTCCGGGCGGGGCCTGCCTTCCAGCAAGTCTGAACAGAGCCTCCTGTGAACCCGCTCCCTCCTGCTTCTCTGCTGAAACCCTACCCGCCTCTGTCCCACGTCCTCCCAAACAGGCCCCAGAATCCTCCCCATGCTGAGCAGCTCTTGCTCCCCAAGTTCTGGCAGCCCCCACGACTGGTGGGGTGCTTACTGCGGGCCAGGCTCTGTTAGGTTCTAAATGTGCCTAAACTCATTGGATTTTTACAGTAATCCTGGAATATAGATAGCACTATTGCCCCATTTCACAGATGGGGAGACCGAGGCCGTGAGAGGGTTAATGATGTCTCGGGGCCACTCAGCAGCAAGTGGCAGAGATCGGGGATCGCTAGAGCCTGTGTGCTCTGGACTATGCTGATCTGCTTCTCTTCGTTTTTCGTTCCCCACCCCCAACCTTGGGGCCCCCTCTAATTGGACTGTATTACAGGGCGGGTCAAATTCTTGTTGCTGAACAGGATACTCATAGCTACCCTTCCCGCCACCTGGATGCCGGGTCCGCCCTTCTCCACCTGCTGTCCTAGAGCCAGTGTTTCTGCACGGGCTGCGTGGTGTATCCCGCCTCCTGCTGGCCCCACTCCCTGGTCCTGCCTATGCAGCCCCTGCCTTGGGGACTCTGGCGCCTGAAGCCTCTGGGCCAGGCAAGCAGCACTTCCAGGGTGGCTGTCGGCACACGGGGCCCACCCCAGGCCCACAGCCCATTTGTCGATGCCTCCTTAGTGCAAGGCTCCTTCTAGGTGACCCTTATGTGTCCCTAGCCTAATGGGCATCCCTGTCCTTCCCCACCCGTCTTTCTCATGGATGAGAAAATGGGCCGGCTGTGGGAAGGAGCTTCATGGCCGGACCTGCCTCAGTACAGACGGCTCAGCCTGTGCCTGTCCCTGCCCCTCACCCCGGGGCCCTTGTTGTCCACACCCTGGTGCCCAGTGTTCCTGGAGGCTGCCTTTCTGGAGCCAGAGTGTTGTGGCATTGTTCCTGGGAGCTTGGAAAAACCCCAATCTTGGACCCCTAAGTTCCCTGGCCAGCGGCCCCAAGACCTGATTTTCTGTAGGGTGGGCTAATGTGGTCCCATAGGAGCCACGGCTTGTGTTCCTGGTAATGGCATCTTCTGTCTACTTTTCTGAGGGGGCGAAGGCCGTGGCCCTTCTCGTGTGTTTCTACATGCCTAGCACCTGACACAGGGCTATGTCGTCATAGCATTGGGGGATGTGCAGGGGACCAAAGGGCTACTCAGAGCTGAGGGTCCTGAGCCACCCACCAGGGCTTCCTCCTTGTGCTGTCTGTGTGTGGGAGGGTGTTTGTGGCATTTACCGAGCTGTCTAGGACAGGGACCCTGGGGTAGCAGGGCCCTGGCCAGACCTCCACTCATACCCTTCTCTGATCCTTTTCCAGCAAATTGTGGCCACAAACATGCCCCCTGAAGATCAGGATGGCTCTGGGGATGACTCCGACATCTTCTCTGGCTCAGGTGCAGGTAAGCTGGCGGGAGGGCCCCATGAGGCCGCAGGCCGTGGACTGGGGACGGCGGTCAGGCAGCTTCTTAGCTGGGCCCAAAGGGTGACGCTGGGGAATAGGATGGGGTCCTCGCCCAGAGGAGGAAACGTGAATTGGCAGGGAGTGACCACGGTGCGTGCTAGCAGGCCCCAGAGGCTGCCTGCCGCAGACATGGCGCCCCGTTCTCTGTGCTCCTGGGCAACCCTTTCAGGCTTCTGTTTCCTCCATCAACGGGGATAATATCTTGACTTCATAAGGTTGTTGGGAGCCGTATGGACGGCAGCACCGAGCCTGGTGTGTATCTTTATAAATGTCCCTGTCCCCACTTCCCGGGGGGAGTGACATCCCTGAGCTAGAGGTGGTCAGGGAGGTGCTTTTGCGCTGAACCTCGGAAGAGGGCTGAGATCATCTATGGGGCGAGTGGCCTAGGCAGGGGCCCAGGAACTGGGAGGTGGGACTCGGACCTCTGTCCTTGGGAGCGAGTGGCCCAGGGCCGTATGTGCAGTGGGGATGAGACACTCAGGCTCCTGAAGCCTCCCCCACCCAGGGAAGGGGCTTCAGCTACTGCAGGAAAGGTTTCTTCCCAGATGGCCTTGGTGTCCCATGATTCCAGAGACCAGGCCGTCCCCAGGCACAGGAAGCAGACAGAAGCATCTCTCCTGTCCACTTTCCAAAGTCAAGTTTAGCCTCAGCTCATCTACCTTGGGGGACAGAGCTTCTGACGGAAAGAGAGTTTGTGACGCTGGCCTGGGGCCCAGAGACGCGGGTCCTCCCCTAGGCCGTCCTTGCAGCCCGAGCGTGGCTGGTCTCAATGCTCTTAGGTTCTCCCACTCAAACAAGCTCTGCTTCTCGCCTTGCAGGTGGTCTGCAAGATATCACCTTATCACATCAGACCTCCACCTGGAAGGACACGGGGCTCCTGACGGTCATGCCCACAGCTGCAGAGCCCACCAACACTGATGGCATCGCTGCCTCCACCTCCATCTTGCCGGCTAGAGAGGTGCCTGAGGAGGGAGAGGGGGTGTTACTGGCAGAGGTGGAGCCTGGCTTTACCACCCTGGAGAAGGAGACCACCCACCCACCCAGTGAGACCACGCTGCACCCAGCCACCCACCGAGCATCAACAGCAAGAGCCACCACCTCCCAGGCACCTGTCACCTCCCATTCCCACAGGGCCGTTCAGCCTGACCTCCATGAGACCTCACCTCCGGTAGGACCCGGCCTTCCCGACCCTCACACTCCCAACATGGAGGACAGAGGTCCTTCTGCCACTGAGAGGGCTGCCGAGGATGGAGTTGTCACTGAGTTCCCAGCAGGAGAGGGCTCTGGGGAGCAGGTGAGTGCCTACTGTATAGTCCTCTGTGCCTAGCACGTTGGGTGGCCCCTTAATGCCTGGTTGAGCACAGTGCCTTGGCGTGGGGGCACAGGTTGGTCATCTGGCCCACTCAACACCCTGTGCCCTGTGAGCATGTTGTATTCCCCACTGTGAAAGACGGCATCACAAGGCCCCACCTTCCCTGCCCCCAGGACTGAGCCCAGGGTGGGACAGGGCAAGAGAACAAGAGTCCTTCAAGATCACCAGGATGAGAGCTTCGCAAACTTGGGCAAGGCCCCTGCCGAGAGTTCTCCTAAGTCCTCTGTTTATCTTATAGGGACTTGGTAATTTCACACTTTCTACTAGAATGGGCCTTTTAATTTTCACATAAAAATGTGTGCTTTATATCACTTGACATATCTCTGCCACAGTCAGTCCAGCCAGGGCTCAGCATGACGTAGCGAGAGGGGCCTGGCTTTGGGGTCCAGAGGCCCCGGTTTGGCTCTATCCGAGCTGGTGGCTGCTGTCACTGGGAAGGCCCAAGCTGCTTCGGGGTTTGGAAATAGACCTGGATGCCACTCCTGGCAATGGCCCGCCCCAGCCTGATCTGTCCCTGTCTTCCCGTAGGACTTCACCTTTGATGTGTCCGGAGAGAGCACAGTTGGGGCTGCTATGGAATTTGACCAGCAGAACGAGCCCCGAGATGGTCATGGGGCCACTGGGGCCTCCCAGGGCCTCCTGGAAAGGAAGGAAGTGCTGGGAGGTGAGTTTTTTCTCAGGTGGATGAGGAGGGGGGCAAACTGCTACTCCGGAGTGGGGGGGCTGCCTTTAGCCTCGGTGCGGGGCTGACCACAGCCAAGGCCACTTCTGGGGCTGCCCAGTGGGGCAGGGGCTGCTGCTCACCCCCAAGAGTAGCCAGGCTGAGCCAGCTTCTGTCCACCCACCCAGGGGTCATTGCCGGAGGCCTCGTGGGGCTCATCTTTGCTGTGTGCCTGGTGGGCTTCATGCTGTACCGGATGAAGAAGAAGGACGAGGGCAGCTACTCCTTGGAGGAGCCCAAACAAGCCAACGGCGGGGCCTACCAGAAGCCCAGCAAGCAGGAAGAGTTCTACGCCTGACGGGAGCAGTCCTCCCCCTCCCCCTGCCACTCGCTAGGCCCCCACTCGCCTCTTCCGTGAAGAACTGCAGGCCCTCCCCTGCCACCATGCCACCTCCCAGTGCTCCCTGCCCCTGCAGCCCACTCCCCACGGAGATCTGGGGCACGGACGTCCTCTGCTTCTCTGACTTCTGCCTGGAGACCAGGGCGCAAGGGCTCTCTGCACCCGACCTTTCCACCTCGGCACCTGGCATCGCACCGTTCTGACTCAGTTTCTCCAAAGTGGAATAGCCCCTCCCAAAGCCCAGGTCTGGAGAGAAAAGGGACCCCACCGCTTTGGACTTGGATAGCCCACTGCAGCTGGAAGATGCTGTGGCTCTGGGCTGACACAGCTGTAGCACTTAACTGGGAGAGACCAGCAGTCTCGGGGGCGTTTACCACTCACTGGGTGGCCGGGAGAGGAGTCCAGGGCTCCATCCAAATTCACTTTGTTTTGTGGGGAGGTCTCATTTAGGTATCAACTCGTTTTTGCACATATTTCTTCTAGTTCTTTGGTCCGTAGCCCAGTAGACTTTATTACTTTTGACGTAAGTTAAGTCGATTTGGTTATCCCCCATCTTGCTAATCTACCATCAGGAGACAGCATCAGGGTTAAGGAGACTTTTTTTTTTTTTTTTTTTTTTTTACTATGAGAACCAAATCTGGAAGCCTTAGTTTATGTGTTGTCTCTTGAGTTTGACACTCACGTGTGCAACAGGGTATGGAATGTGCTGAGCGGCCCCGTCGGTGGGCCGGCCGGTCCCAGCTGCCATGGGCAGTCATGCCTGTGTCCATGAACTTGGGGCCACAGCCATGGCCCGGGCTGCTGTGGTGTCGAGGCGCCGATGTGAGCATTGAATCCTGGCGCCTCAGGCTGGGGACGAGAGAGAACTATGGGGTGGGAGAGGTGGCAATGGGCCCAAAGAATGTCCTGCAGGTCACACCCTTCCTTGGATGCCATCTCCAGGGACATTTTCTTCTGGAAGATAATGAGAGGGGTCCTGGGCACACCTGGCACTGAGCTGCTCCACGAAGGACCGGGTTCACCTTTGCTTAGCTCCTGTGGCCCTGCCCTGGGCTGGAATCAGGAATGTTCCAAAGAGTGATAGTCTTTTGCTTTTGGCAAAACTCTACTTAATCCAATGGGTTTTTCCCTGTACAGTAGATTTTCCAAATGTAATAAACTTTAATATAAAGTAGTCACGTGGACTCTGCCGCCTGTGCTTCACTCTGCGCTGGTCCTGTGGATGTGACCAGACTTTTCTCTAAACAGCAACGATATTGGGAGACTAAAAGCTCTGTGCCTTCATCTTTCTCGCGGGGAGGGATTCTGGGGCCAGAGTCCCTCTGGTCGGTTTGTTTTTTGTCTTTGCTAAAATTCTGGAGGTCAGTAGGTTCAGCCAAGGTTACATAAGGCCTGATGTAAATTTGTGTGTTGCCAAGCTCAAAGCGCCATCCCCTAAATGGTTAAAGAAGCTGTGACAGCCCCGGCACAGCTTGACCTGAGGCCACTGGCCCCACTGAGGCCTGGAGCCAAGGCCTGCCTCTCAGACACCTTGGACAGGCCTTCTCTCACACCTTAGCTAGGATCAGAGGCCGCCAGCCTGGGGCTTCTGGGAACTCTTATACTTGCTTATTTAATTTGACAATGTTCCAGCTGCTCTGTTGGCTGCCTCGAGAGGTGGGGACATCTGTGACTCAGACGCATCGCCCAACAAAGGGAACCTGTGCCCTGTGTTCAATACTGGGACTTTCTGCCTGGAGTGTATGACTGGACGTGACGGCGGGTGGGGAAAAAGGGGTCTGTGACCGTGCTCATCTCTGCTGGTCCCCGGGATGGCACTGAGCCTGTGGCTGGCTGATCCCATTCATGTAATTTTAATAAATGGTACTTGTCGTTCCGGGCTATGGTGGTGGTTGAGTCTTCTTGACCTGGGGCTGGGCTGGGCTGTGGCTTGATGAAGAAGAGCTGATGGAGCCCTCGTCATCCCCTCCTCCCCAGCCCCTCCTCGCTGTCCTCGATCATCCCCTGCTCAAGGACAGAGGCTCCCTACTCACCAGGTTTCTGGCTCTTCCATTGCTCATGCAACTCCTAGAAACTCACTAGCAAATGGTCTCAAGTGCCAAAGGTCTGCACAAATTGCACATTAGGGGAAAACAGTGGAAATTGGGGGGGGCGGTTTGAAAAGGCTCCGTGCACGGCAGGAGCCCACCGTTCTCAGCTCCTAGCTGTCCTCCCCTTAGTCTCCCACATCCTGCGGACCCCCCAACCCAGCCCCTCAGCTGCTCCATGGCAGGTCACCCTGCCTGGGTTCCTTAGCACCTGACCCACAGTCTGTCCCTGGGTGTGGGCCGCCAGAGCAGGAGGGACCATTCTTTCCTGGTGGGGCAGGGAATGCAGGCCCTGGGTGGCTTTGGGAAGTGGAGAATGTTACTCTCCCTGACACACTGTGTTTGAGGGGTTTGGAGGCTGAGACAAAATCCTCAGCTCAATTATTTGTTCAACAAACACTGAAAACCACGGTATCTGTTTTCTGCCAGTCCCTTGGCTGGACAGTGAGGACAGTTGTAGAAGAGATTCCTTGGAAATTAAAGCTTTTACTGAGCACACTGGGGGCCAGACACTGCTGGCTTGACACCTGGATTATTTCATTCACCACCAAGAGCTAATCGGCCGAGACGGCCCTGCTGTTAATGACCCTGCCTGACAGACAACAGCTGCGGGACAGAAGGGTCTTCCCGGGATCTCACCGCAGTGAGCAGTGGAGCTGGGAACTGGACGTGGGCAACCTGGCCCCTGAGCCCCGACAGGGACAGGCCGTCCACACACTGAGGGTGGCGCTAGGACCGGGAGGGCGGCCCCTCCACCTGCCAGCTTCCGAGCCCCCAGCCTCCTGGTCCACCTGCTCCCGTCGGTCGTATCCCCGTAGGTTAAACTGCACCCCTGTCCGGCCACTTTCTTGCTCTGCCGAATTCTCCCTCTTGCCCCAGGAACTGCCAAGACAGGTGGCAGCATGAAAGGGGCTTTCCTGAGGGAGACTGACCGAAGAAGCAGAATGAAGGAGTTCAAACGCGGTCTTCAAGTCCCTTTGGCACCCTGGCCTCAGGAAACGTCTGCGCAGGTCTCCCCGCCTCGGCCTGCCGCCCCTCTTTTTTGCTTTCCAAGACTCTTCCCACCCTGGAATGGAGCAGTTGAGTGGGATTTCATTGTCCCCTTTGGATCATGGTGTGCGTGTGTGTGTGTGTGTGTGTGCGCGCACACACGTGTGTGCATGCATGCGTGTGTGTCCTACATTGTATGGGAATGGGGGGGGGGCTCACTGGATTTTCCCCTAAGAGTTCATTCAAGTGATTTTCTACATGCATGAGCCATCTTCTCTGTGATCGTGTTGCCTGAATTTGCAGCCAGCTTTGGCCGTACGTTGCACGTTCTGCCTTGCCTCTGGGGCTTTGCTCTGGGTAGCAGCACCGCGTTTTCACATCCACAACAAAGATTCGGGGGTCCCACTGTCAGGGAATTTGTGGTCCGGGGGAGACAGGTGGCAGCGGTTTTCAGTGGCAGTGCTTGGTGTAGGCTGTTGGGGGTCGGGGGCACCTCACCCAGCTCGGCATCTGGTGTGTCAAAGAAATGTCCAGAGATGGTGTTTGAACTGGGTCTTGAAGGACAAACTCGAATCTGCCTCTCAAACGAGGAGAAGGTATTCCTGGCAGAAGGTACAGTTTTGGCAAAAATCGGAACGCAAGAGGCCTCATGGTGGGTGGGAACTGAAGGCAGGTGTCGGAAGAAATGAAGCTGGAGTATGGTGAGAAAGTGGACAGGCGCTCTACCTGTAACCTCTCAGCGGACCCCAGGGAGGGCCTGGAGCCTCAGGGTGCAAGCCGGAGAGATTAGAAATTACAGAAGGATGGGAGAAGGAGGCCCGGTGACTGACAGTAGAGGCTGGCAGTGTGAGGAGCGGGGAGGGGCTGGGTTTGAGAACTTGTGAAGAGGCGAAACCGGCAGGACCTGTGAGGCATGTCCCTGCCTCACTGAGGGAAGGGGTGCCTGCGATGAGGCTATTTTCTGGGCCGGCGGTCAAGGATGGGGCCAGAAGGACAGTAGTCCCAGAGCTGGCCCTTGAGGGGGATGTCTCATGCCTCCCTCCCACGTTGGGCTCTGGAGGTAGGTGGAACCCACAGCAGCGTTGGGAGAGAAGTCTTCTGTTAAATGGGTCTGCAGGGGCCTAGCCCGCCGAGAGGAGCGCCAGGGCCATGCTCCCTCTGAGGACGCACCCTATCCACCTCTCCAGCCAACCCTGTCCCGCCCCCAACTCCGAAGCCTGGCAGGAGCGAGTGGCAGGTGCAGGTGAGTTCCGGGTTCCTGGAGTTGCCCGAGTGGGAGCTGGGGGAGGGCCCTGGCCAGGAGCCCGGAGGCGCTTGGAATTCTGCAGGTTCTGCCCAGCCATGGGCACAGTCCTCGCCTGGCTTTGTCCCCAACTCCTGTTCCCCAGCACCACTGCACCCCCTCCCCCACCCAGTGCCTATCTTTGGGGTACACCACCTTTGCACCTACTCAGGGTGTGTGCATGGGTGTGAGTGATTGTGACTGTGCCTCCAAGTCAGGCCCCCGGCAGTGCTGTGCCCCACACCTGCTCAGCTTCAAGTCTGGGCTCAAAGCTTCTCTAGGGAGAGGCACTGAGTCCTCTGTGCCCCCACAACTTCTGGGGCGCTCCCCGTGACCTCTCTCCATGTTATCGCAGGTGTTTGGTTCCACACTGGCTTCCTGAGACCCTGGGTGCTTTCTGAGGGCAGATGCTGTATTACGATCCAGTCTCTGCCTTTGGGGAGCTCACCGTGGCCACCTGGGGCTGCTGTCCTGCTCCGAATGTCCAGTGATCTTTAGGAGCTTATTAACAGTACCGGACAGCACCGCACGCCCACCGGAAAGGCTGACATCAGGGAAGGACAGTTGTTGGAGGGTGTGTGGCTCAACGGGAAGTCCCCTGTGTGCTTAGAAAGCATGCCAATCGACATGAGCACTTTGGATACGCATGTGGCAGTATCTTCGAAAGCTAAGCATCTGCCTACTCTTTGATCCAAGCGGAACGAGAGCACGTGTCTGCTGGAAGAATGCTCACAGCCGCTCCATTCGTCACAGCTCACATGTGGAAATGACCCAAATGTCCATCAGCCGGAGAATGAATGGATAAATAAATTGTGGTGCATTCGCATCATGGAATATTACTTGGTGATAAAAAAGAATAAATGATTGCTAAACATACCACACACATGAAGATCACAGGCAATATATATATTAAGTGCAAGAAGCCAGGCACGAAAGAACCCATACTTCAAACACAGAGTTCAGGAACAGGCAAAACTAACCGATGGTCATAGAAGCCAGGGCACCTCTGCTGGGGTGTGGCACGGGCTAGAAAGGACACAAAGGTCCTCTGGCTTGATGGAGGTGGTGATTGCAGGGTGTCTGTATATCTAAATAAATCGTTAAGTTATACACTTAAGATGAGTGTACTCCGTGTATGTAATTCTGCAATAAGAGAGGTAAAGAGCATGGGGGTTGGGGGGAGAAGCTTATAAAAGGGCTTCTGAGATTCTAATTAGTTCCTTTAAACCTCACTGTAGCTCTTTTAGGAAAAATGATGGAGGTCCACATGGCCTATGTTTTCTTCAGGATCCAAGAGGGTTCTTTCTCACTGATGGGCGGAGAGGCCCAGGGCAAGAGCCTGGCACGCTGCGGGCTATGCCCGGCCTGAGTGGCCGGAGGAGCAGGCCGCCTCCTCCGCGGGCCCGCGGGTGGGCACTGCCCAGGGGGCAGCCCCGGTGACACCCCCTCCCCCAGCCGCCGCCAGACCCCGCTCCTCCTCTGGTTCCTGGAACCTGCCCGACACAGCACGGCGGTGTTTCCAGCACTTAAGGCGAGGAGCTGAGCCGCTCCTCCACTCCAGGAAAATATTTGTTCAGGGACTTGGCACCGCAGAAGAGGAAATAAACGCCACCTTGGAGCCGAGCGGGCGTTGCTTTGTCTGCGCCTGCGGAGCACCCTTGTCTGCGGCCGGCCTGGGAATCCCGCCCCACACCCTGCCTGCTTGCGGCCAGCTCTTCTGCCCTTCCGTTCGGGACTCGGCTGTCGGTTCGGTCAGCAAGCATTTACGGAGCTGACTCTGTGCCAGGCACAGGGCTGGGCCCTGGACGCTGCTGGCGAATCAGGGCCCTGGCCTCACCTTCGAGGCTGTTGTGAGGGAGGCTGACCAGTGGAAAGGCCGTTAACAGTGTCCTGGAGCCCTGGCCAGGGGGCCGGGGAGCAAGCCAGGCTGGGCAGGATGGCCACTGGGGACAGGACTGGGCCGGCACCTGGCGTCGGGCTGAAGGATGAGCGAGGCAGAGTTAAGGGGCAGTGGGAGGGGGCAGACAGAGGATTCCAGGTACATGGGGAGCAAAGGCCCTGAGGCAGGAGAGATCGGGGCTCTGGGGGTGGAAAGTGGGTGGGGTCGGCTGTGATGGAGACCCAGGAGGCAGGGCACCCCGCACCTTGCCCCACGGAGCCTCTCAGCACAAGCTCAGGAACCGGAACTTCATCCCCGGGGCAGCAAAAGTTTTTGTTTGTTTCGCAACATTTAAACACATTGATTTTGATTCTTTTTGAGACTGGAAAGTATAAAGAAGAAAACAAAATTGACGTCGATTCCCGTCACCCAGATATTTCCCGGTAACATTTAAAAAATTACCATACTCTGGGCACACGATGAGAAATCCCAGCGGAACAGAAAAGTCTCAATGAAAAGTGAAAAAAGGCCTCCTTCTCCCCACCTGTCTCTCCCGCCAAAGGCCATTCCACTTCACAGGCCTTCGTCGTGTGGGTGCAGACATTTTTTCCATGCGTATTCTTGTGAGAATAAGCCCGCGCTT